GTATATATTTGTCGTGTAGTGCTTCCCATGCAGCTATAAATAAACCCTAATTTTCACTTACATTTTCACAACTTTGCCTTCCATAATAATTCCTATACTATAATATAACTAAACCATGTTACCGAAAATGAAGTCGAAAAGCCTTTTTGTTTTCTTTGCCCTTCTTCTTTTCGTTTGTTCCGTTTTCGCAGATGAAGCGTCGAAAGATCACACTACTGAAGTCGCTCCAAACAAAATAAAAGGTATAAAATTCTTTTATTTCCTATATATATATGCACATGTATTAAAATTTTAGTTATTGATCGATTTTGTTTCGTTTTTTTCTCTATATGATATTAATTCTTGTATGTATAATTGTGTGTATAGGTGATGAATTGAAGGAAATCAACCAAGGCGGCGGTGGCGGCGGTGGAGGTGGTTACTGCCGCAATAGGTATTGTTGCGGCGGATGGGGCCGCTACGGCTGCAATCGCTATTGTTGCCGCGGCTCTGGTACGTAGGATCTATATTTTTTGCTTTAATAATAGTAATATGTCCGAGTTATTTTTATTATAAAAAATAAAACTACAGTAGAACCTCGATAAATTAATAACATCGCTTAAATAATACGTTATTCCGGTCCCAACTCAGTAAAAACATATTAAATTATTAGTTCGATAATTTAATATTTCGCTAAATTAATAGAAGTTTGTTAGTCTCGACTGTATTAATTTAAAGAGGTTTAACTAAGAGGTTTAACTGTGTGATTTAATTTTTTTTAGCAAATTACCTCTAAAAATAATTATTAAAAAAAATATGTTTTGCAATTTTTACTAATATATTAATAAAATATAGATTTTTTTAGAAATTTGAAATAACATAGGTAATTACTGAATGGTCCCTATACACAAATTGATTGAAATTTACAATTTGGTGCAATAATAGAAAATGAAGTGGAATCGGTTGAAGAAACAAAGCAACCCAACCAAGGCGGCGGCGGTGGTGGCGGAGGTGGTGGTTATTGCCGGAATAGGTATTGCTGCGGTGGATGGGGCAGATATGGTTGTAACCGCTACTGTTGCCGAGGTTCAGGTAATATATATATTTTTGCTATGCATTAATAATTAAAAAGTATCTTTTGTGTTATTAATATTAATAAATAAATAAAATATTATTATTTAATGATTTTTTAGCAATTCAAATTACTGAATGGTCATGATTCAAATTTATTAACAGAAAATGAAGTGGAGTCGGTTGAAGAAACAAAGCAACCCAACCAAGGTGGCGGTGGCGGCGGCGGTGGTGGTGGTTACTGCCGGAATAGGTAT